CCACAGTATAACCCCTGCTTTCACTATATTTGATGTCAGTATAACTTGTGGAGGAGATGGGGAAAAACCAGTTGTTTAAGGATACAGGTGGACCTGTTGCAACAATGAGAAGTACAAGTTGTCATGTCCAAAACGAGCTTTACAACGTCGGTGTGGGGGGAAAGGGGGGGGGGAAGGAGAAGGATTGGGATTGGGGGGGGGGGGGGAGGCTGGGAAGGGATGTGAAGGGTAAACAAAGGAGGAGGCTGCAATGCTTGGTAAGAAATGTACGCATTATCCTGCCCATGTAATTGTAACTTCTCTGTACAGTATGTTCACAAATAAAATAAAATTAAATTAAAAAAAAGAAAAAGAAAGATGTTAACAACTTGACAACCTACAAATAGGTATATTCAATGTTTCATGTTAAAGTATAAAATAATGTAGTGCTAGGTGCTGGTGGCTCATGTTTGTAATTCTTTTACTCAGGCTGACATCTGGTAACTAAAGCCAACACTGGCAGGCAAAATCCTTGAGCCTCTTATCTACAATTAACCCCTGAGTAGAGCTGAGATTCAAGTAGTAGAGCACTAGCCTTAAGTACAAAAGTTCAACGATAGAACCCAAACCCTGATTTCAAGCCCCAGGACTGGCAAACAAAACAAAAAACTCTGGCAACCAAGTCAAGCTAAATTACATCTGCCTAAATCTAACTGAACATTACTTCAATTTTTTAATTGTAATAGTATATACTATTTAAAAAGTAACCTTATCACATGCTATATTTGGGTCTGGAATATTCATAATTCAAAGGCTTATTTCTAGCATGATGAAATTAGGAGTTAGTGGGACCTTTAGGAGGTAGAGCCTGGTGGTAGTCATTGGCTGTATGCCCTTGTTAAAATGACAGAACCTAGGCCCTGCTCTTCCCTCTCCTACTTTCTTCTTTGTTCAGGCTATGAGGTAAGCAGCTTGCTCCCACACACATTCTTTACCATGATGTGTTCCATTGTCATGGGCATCAAATAGCACCAAATGAACATGGATTGAAATCTCCAGTACTCTCAGCCAAAATAAATCTTTTCTATCCCAGGCTGGTAGCTCATACCTGTAATCCTACCTACTAAGGAGGGAGAGATCTGAGGACTACTGTTTGAAGCCAGCCTGGGTAAACAAATCCATGAGACTCTTATTTCCAATTAATCAGCAGAAAAGCTGTATAGCTCCAGCCTTGAGCAAAAAGCTTAAGTGAGAGTAAGAGGACCTTAGTTCAAGCTGCAGTACCTGATAAACAAAGAATAGATATTTTCTTTATGTAAAATGTCTCTACTGTTTGTCAGAACAAGAGATAGCTGACCAGTTTATCTTGTGCTAGTCTTATACGCCTATATGTAATAGTTATAGGTTTCCTTGATTTACGTAGATGAAATAGAGATTGATTTGGTTTGCAGAGATTCAGTAGATGTCATTAGCCTTGAATTACATACCAGTATTATGGAAGTAGTCTTCCTAAAATATGAAATTGAGTTAAAAAGCAAACAAAATCTTGAAAACTGTATATATTTCAACCTACATATCTATATTGTCACATCCTCCACAATTTCTCTCCAAACAGCTTCATTGTACAGAATCACTCAAAGAATTCATATCTCAAAATAATTGGAAGCAATATTGGAAGAGATGGGAGATGTATCTTCAAAGGGCATACTTAACTTTTTATCTTCTGGAAGGCTTTTGGATTGTGTTTGATGAGTGATTCTACCAGTAAAACAGATTCTACAGTAAAACAGTACTCAGCCAGAAAGATCTAAGTGTCCCTAAAAGTTGACCTCAAAGGAAAATGATTTTGTCCATAGATTTCCTCCCTCTAGGCAATTCAGTGCTCATATAAATCACTAGCAATTCAGCTTCACTCACTTTATCACACCAAGAGAACTTAGAACTGAGAAGTCAGATGAGAAGCACTGACCAGAGGATGGAAAACAAAGGCAATCCATGTGCAGCTGGGATGGCTGTAAACATTTGTTCCTCATGCTTGGATGCATAGCATAAGTTACCATGATGCCTTTCTTTTCCTTTCCTTAATGTTCTCAACAAAACCATCAGGTCGAGTTAATTCATGGTGGTTCAAAAGAAATAGTCACTATGAGAAAAATGTGCAATTGGAAGTGGAATTGTGGTTCAAGTGGTAGAATGCTAGCATTCCGCAGAAAAAGGCCAACCAAAAGTGTGAGGCCCTGAGTTCAAGACCTGGTATCCATCCTAGCTCCCCCCAAAAAAAAGTTTCATAGGGGCCAATGATTCCTTACCTTAATCTGGAAGCTGATATCTGAGTAGTGGGGTTCAAAGCCAGCCTGTCAAGAAAGTCCATGAGACTTTTCTTTCTTATTAACTACCAAGAAATAGTGGGAAATGGAGCTGTGGATCAAATAGTAAACAGACAACCTTATTTGAGAAAAGCCAAGGAACAGCACCCAAACCCTGAGTTCAAGCCTCACTACAGACAGGGAGACAAAACAAAACAAAGAAAAGCAATAGCCAACAGATTAGGATTCCATAAAATTACGACAAAGAAAAATGAATCTATAGAAAAGAACCTTTACATAGAAATAGAGGGACAACAGGTAAACAAATTCAGCAGTGGCACTCACTAGACACGAAATTGGAAATGAACTTTACAACTTGTAGATGGAGACATGAAGGAAAAACTGGGAGTGAGGGAAGGGGAGATACTGTCCAAAAAGAAATATACTTTTTTAACTGACTTATGTAACTTTGACCTCTCTGTACATGATCACCTTTATAATAATAACAATAAAGTTCTGCAGTTTAAAAAAAGCCAGAACCTTTGAAAACAATCTGTAGTCTACAAACATAATAATGGATGGCATAAATGTGAGATGTGACATAAAACAAACAAAAAAATCTTAAATATTTAGGTTTAATTTTTTTCCTTCAGTATGCAGAATTCATAGACTTTTCTGGACTAAAAATGCTAAATTATTTGGTCTGTTAGTAGAAAATAAAGCTCAATTACATTGACTTGTCTCTTTAAACCCACCAACATAGAAACTCTACATGAATCTCTTTTTCTGGTCTCCTCAGTTTCCCTGGGCTCTAGCAGTGTTTTTCTCTATTTTGCACTCCATTTTGCAAGACCTTGCACCCAGGCACAGCAGTCAAAGAATACAATTCCATGGCTGTTTCTAAGCAGAAGGAAGCTACTTATCACTTATAGAAGAAGAGAGAAAATATCCTCGATGATCTGGCATATGAAAAAAAAAACAGAGAATGATCATCTGCATGGCCCAAGGAGTCAGAGGTAGCAAGGCATGAGCAAAATAATGGTGCCCAGAGTCAAGAAGAAGAAAAGTCTGCATTCCACTGGTTCTTCCACCTTTCTGGTGTTTGCTTCTAATGAGCCAGGACTGTTTTTCAAAGCATCAGAGCACTGAAAAGAAGACCTCTGATTGTGAAAGTTGTCAGAAAGAAACATCCATGAGTATAAGACTGCAAAAATCTCAGTTTCTTAAAGAAACAATTCCTACAATGAAGAGACAGAAAAGAAGACCAAACCAGGCACTGGGGGCTCAAACCTGTAATCCTAGCTACTCAGAAGGCTGAAAATCTGAGGATCATTATTCCAAACCAACCCAGGCAAGGAAGTCTGTGAGCCTCTTATCTCCAATAAACTACTCAGAAAAAGCCAGAAGTGGTGCTGTGGCTCAAATGACAGAGTACTAGCCTGGAGCACAAAGAAGCATAGGGACAGAGCTCAGGCTCTGAGTTCAAGTCCCAGAACTGGGAAGAAGGAAAAGAAGAAAGAAGGAAGAAGGAAGGAAGGAAGGAAGGAAGGAAAGAAAGAAAGAAAGGGAGAAGAAGAAGAAAGAAGAAAGAAGAA